TAGTTCGTTGATCGAACTTCGACGACCAGACGTCAGCCGATTCTTTTCTCTGAAGACAGTGATAATCGAAGAAGGTGGTGGGAAATTAAAATCTCTCGCCACCTGTTCGCCGCCTGGCTCGTAGGCAAGCTTTCAGCAAATTCGATCGACTGACAGATATGCTGCTTACGGATTATCGTCCGCGGCTGTCATGGAGGCCAACGTTAGATTCGAGCGGTTGCGAATGGCCGCCAAGGTTGTCAAGGTCAGAGGAGGGCAGCCGACTGAACGAAAGGACTATAGTTCAGCGTTATTAGCGTCTTGACCAGTCAACGCCTTGCTCTCGGGATGGGATCCGGTCCAATTCTTATACCTGTTTGAAAAAGCCATAACAGCTTTCAGCGATGGCAGGAAATCAATAGCTGGTCAGCAATTAACTTTCCAAACGCGATACTTCGAAATAAATTACACAACCTAAGCGACAGGCGTTGTAAAACACCTGTATAATTCAATTGAACTCATTAATAACCGGTGAGGTGCGATTCGAGGTTTGCTCAGGCGTCGCCGAACGAATGCTTGGACGTTGTGCGAGCGAATAAACGGAATTGTCTCCGACCGCCATCTCGACTGCTGTCTGTCTGTCCGTTTCCTCACAACGACGACAAACGAGTGGACGAGGAGGAGGACGACGACGACGAAGTGGACGACGACCGCAACACGACCCAGAAGAAGTGCATTTGTCAGGGTTTATGCGCAGTTGTGACCACTGGGCGCCGAGTCGCTTCATGTTCCACGTGACATGTGGTCGGACCACTGCCGACCCCACTTCTGGTTTGAACCGCAAGCCGAACCGTGCTGGTCTAAAGGAAGGTGGTGGTGGTCATCGCCGTCTTCCACCTTCGCAGTGAGGATCGCCGTGATGTTGCTTCTGAACAAGCTGCAGAACAGCCGACTTTGGCAGTCGTGCTGCCGCTTCAAAATTGACCCGTCGAAGACCAGGGAAGACCCGGACGAAAGGTGGGCCAACCAGTACCGCGAACGACAACGCAACAACCTGTACAAATGGGTGGACACGTCGAAAGGTTTGTGTCCTGTCATCGTTGATGATGACAGATTGATTGATCGTCCTTGAAAATCACTCCTGCGGCCTGTACCGTATTTAGGCGGCTCGCTAATCGAGATATTTATCAACGAAGGCAAAGACGGCGTGCTGCGCTTCGCGCAGGAGAAAATACTGCCCATGCTTTACCACGAGGGCAAATCCCCGGAAATCATCAAGAAAAGCGACTATATGAAATGGAGAAATTTCATGGTAATCACTATATCTTGAATGATCCACAAATCATCTAGATTAGGTGCTTTCCACTTCGTTATAATTGGTATGAATTCAGAGGTTGTAAACACAACTTGTAGACCCATTATAAAGTTTGATTTTACTGCTGACGTTTTTGTCAAGCAACATTGATCACCTTCCGGACAAACAGTGCTATTGTGAGGATTGTCGGAACAGCAGCAATAAAAGGCTTTAAAATACTCCTGTTGAGTGACTGAGAACTTTTTCTGTAGTCATAATGAAAACAGCCCAAAACACACAGTTTATTTTTTCGCGAAGAAATTAATTTAAACAATCGGATGACTGACCAGTACCGACGTTTCGCTGCATGTCCCACGTGCCTTCTTCCAGATAAAGAGGAGCTTGAGCTTCAGAAGTCCTCCTTTTCGTCCGCAGCAATTGTAAGTTGTGTTTTTTGAGTCTAAACGTATGATCTACTGCAGAAAACAAGAAAGACTTCTGAACTCAACTCACTTTTAATTTAAGGAGGCTCATTAGGCACGGGTCAAAATGTCAGTGTTTTTCAGCTATTCAGCTGGCATAAATAAGTCGTTGTTTGGGCTGTTTTCGATCTTCTGACTGCCCATAGCCACTGAGTTCAGACTATTTATATTTACGTAATTTTTAAGTTCACATTTCATGTTTTGCGACAGTTAGCGTTCATTTTTTACACAGTTCAAAGATCATTAATTTATTTGTTAGGTATTCAGATCTAGAGTAAAAGCAAAATATTAATAGTCACGAAATTCTACGACTAACGACGATATTGGATGCCGGCGATGTAGAGGCACAGTGGTGAGGAGGTCGGCTTGGAAATTTGGAGGAGATTTGTTCGGCTGCTGTGAAAGGACAAAACTTTTCTTACCCTTAAAATTTTAATCCACCTCAATTTTTGATGCAGTCACCAGAAAAAGCGGTAGTTAGACGTCGACTTGCGAAGAACAGCGACTATCTTGTGTCACTGGTGTCATATCGGTAGGGTCGGTGTA